CTCTGATTTTGGTGTGATTGTTTTGATCAAAATGAGCGCAAAATTTCATCTCTACCGAGGGGGCAGCAAAACCACAAAATTACCTTGAATACGGGGGGTATTCATTGGATGAAAGGGACCGTGAAAGATTACACTAAAATAGAAAGTTTTTCTTCCGACAGTTTCATCTTAGTATTCATCTTTGGTACAACCCCATAGGGCTGTCCCTTGTAGTTTTTAATAAGGTAACCGACTCAACTGTAATTTGCTTACATATTGTTTCTAGGTGGTGTTCACTGCAATCCATGCAAAAAACTGGCTCCAGTCGTGGTCAATGTGTCTGCTCCACAAATTGCTCCACCGATGAACAAAAAAGAAGTTTTTACCGGAAGGATACGGCGCTACACTGAAATCAGGGGCTTCCTGTTGAAGATTTCAAAATGCTGTTTTCAGATCGTCGCCAACGGAAATGGAACTTGGACCGACAGAAAAAAAGCTACATCGGCCATCTGTAAAGGGTATTTAAAATTAATTACTTACGAAAAATATCTACGATTTGCTCATCTTGGAGTTGCATAACAGCCTCCATCATTTCACCTTTTTATTTTTCACAAACACGAACGTTTTCAAAGCCGACTGAAAATCAAAATATGGCGGATTTGACGTTTACAGAGACCGTTACCGAACTCGGTAATGCAACGCTTTGTTTACCGAAACTTCAGTAAAATGTTTCACCAATGTTAGTTATGAAGCGTCATTAAGCAGATTTACGGACCTGCCGGTAAGAATGTTTACCGTTTTCGTTAAGTTAACACACTAAGATTATTTTACAGATTTCTGTAAAATTTTACCAAAATCTCAACAGCTGAACGTTCGGTAAACAATTTTACAGATTTCCTGTCATTATTTACAGATATCTGTGAAAAATCCACAGATATTTGTGAAAAATTGCAGGAAATCTGCGAAACTGTTTACCAAACGTTCAGCTGTTGAGATATCGGTAAAATTTTACAGATTTCTGTAAAAAGTTCTAAGTGTGAAAATTTTATTTATAGTTTTCAGCAATAAAGCGAGAATATTCGGAAAAATCTGTAATTTTTAGGATTACCGATCTAAGACGGCATTTTTTTTTCCGAAATCAGGGTCTTTATTTAACTGTGTATGCTATGCTATTTCCAAAGAGTTCCGAGCACCATTCCAGGAAGATTCGAAAGAATGTTCAAATAGAAGAGAGTTTCAAAAGAATTTGGAAGAGAATTCCAAGGAAACTTCAAGAGCTTCGTTCAAAGGCCTTTTTAGAAGAATTTAAAGAGAATTCTGAGAGACAGTTCCATGGAATTCTAATGTAAAGTTCATGGTAATTTTAGGACAATACTATGGAAAACCTGGGTGAATCCCAAAGCAAGGGAATTCTAAGAATAATTGCTAGGTAATTCTGATAAGAATTTCAATACAATTCTGAGGGAAGCTTTGAGGAGACATTTTCTAGGATCTGACTTAAAAAGTTTTCAAGGTTTAAAAACTTTCAAAGTTATTCAAACTGCCGCACAGCGGACATTGAAAAACTTTTGAGATAGTGAAGCTAACATATATCAAGTGCCTGAAGCTTAGATGATTCTCGCTGGAATAATTTAGAAAAAAAAAATTACATTTCTAATTCGTTATACAAAATTTGATAAATATTTTGAGTTCAGATTTATGAGTGTTTACCTAGTTCACTGAAGTGAAAAAATGTACCTAGTCTTATAGCTTTTTTTTTCTTCTTTAATAAGGAGATTTTTAGCCTATGGCTAGTTCATCTCCGGAGAAAGGAGAGGGCTCAGAGTGAGTAACCTCTAGATACATGGTACATTAACATTTAGTAAATAACTTTGGTTGCTGGCTCTTCAACTTATATGAAGAAAATAACAATATATAAAATAATGAAACAGAGGAACAACAGAAAACAAAATGATTAAAGACAAGCTACAAACGATTAATCCAAACAAAACAGAGCTCAGCTGGCATGGGTCCAATAGGGGAAATCCATCCAGCTGAGATGTTCCGACGGCCGAAAGAAATTCCTGCTACACCAAGTGGTAGATTTTAGCTTCTTTTAAGAAGGTTACTAGTGCTGCCGAGGCCGAAGTATCATTCCCAAGCAGATCGCTGATGCTGGAAGTTAGGCAGAGTGACTCCCGAAGATTTTGGAACTCCGAGCAGTTGCACAGGATGTGTTCGACGGTGTAGGGTACCCCACAGATGATGCAGCTTCTGCGGAACGGCAGGCCACCATAGTTATAGTAGAGTTTGGTGTGCCCGGTTCGAAGCCGTGAAATCACGCGTTGATCCCTCAGGTTGTCCAGTTCTCTCCATGGTTCAGTTGACCCTTTGACTTTGCGGATGAAGGCAGTTCTGTTGCGGAACCACTCGGCTTCCCATGCCGCTCGAATGGTCCGTATGATCCACCGTCTGACGTCCTGTAGGGGTACCTTGTTGGTGAGTCTCGGACCCGATGTCCCGGCTCCGGCAAGGTGATCAGCAGACTCTTTACCTGGCACTCCGCAGTGTCCGGGAATCCATGTGTACACGGTGTTCGGTGGGGCGTACTTGATAATCGCCTGGATCCATGGGTGTTTTGGTGCTTCCGAGGTGATCGCTTGAACGACGCTGTGTGAGTCGGTTAATATAAGTATCGGTTTGTTGGCTGGCGTCGTAGCGGCACGGAAGATCGCTGCAGCCTCGGCCGAGAAAACCGAGCATTGTGGAGGAAGACTGCTGCAATACCGTCTCCAAAAATCCCGATACCTACTCCATTTATCGATCGGGAGCCGTCGGTGTACCGATGTAAGTGGTCGGCATAGTTGGACCCGAGTAACTCGGCGACCGTTACTGTTAAATGCCCCGTAACGTGGGTAGATCACCTTTTCGTGGTACGTTACGGGATGTAAGATCTACCACCGATTCCTAGTTCTGACTACTTCAAACTAGGGGAACAGGATTTTTCAGTAATCCAAGGAACACATTGTCGTGACCGGACCGAGGTTTCCAGCCTCGGCCACGGCAACACGAATAAGCGATGCAGCTCCCACGGATGCGGCTGCTTCTATTGCTGCTGCTGCTGCTGTTTCTGCTGCTGCTGTTTCTGTTGCTGCTGTTTCTGCTGCTGCTGGTGGTCCGTCACCTCCAAAATTCGTTACAAGAATGAATTCAACGAGCGATCTTTATTATTTCTTGTGTTTCTTGTGTTTGCGTGGTTTACATACACTTATCAAGTGACACAGATGCGTCTTTTCAACTTTAGTTCCTGTGAAATTTCATATATTATTAATTACAGTTCCTAGTCCTATCAGGCCTGTTTTAGAGAATGACCACCTTGGTGGGATTGGTTTGTATGACTTCAACGAACTTATGTCGTTTTCGTTTTTGCGGTGTAGCTACACCGGTGCTACACCGCCGAACACCGAAAAATTTCAGGGTGTAGCTATCGATTGCATCTTTGTTTACAAACAAATGATGATGAGCTGTCAATGACTCGCACTTATTGCTGCTTACACTACACCGGTGTAGTGTATTAAAAACGAAAATGACATTAGATACTTCATATTTATACCTGCTAACCTATCAAAATTCTCTTGAGTCTGATTGTTTTCTGACAAACGTCAGTTTGATCGTTTGTTTCGATTGAGGTTCGCACTGACAAACAGTTCGTTTTCGCTCTGGCTTGGAACTGATTCCAACTTCGATGATAAACGGATTTGCTATTATTATTTAATCAGCCATATATGCCAGTTTCTTTAGTAGAATATTAGAGCAAGACACAAGTTAAGAAGGTTTGCACATTGTAAACGAAATACGCGTGTCAAGGATAAGCAATTAAGGTAGGGAATTAGGTAAATGCTACGAGGAAGAGGAGATAACTGGCTTCTTACTCTTTTATCTCTATCTATCTCTATCTCTATCTTACGCACTTCAAATCAGCCAATCACGAGCTGGTTCGCGTTTGACAGAAAAGTGGTTCGTTTTCACCCCCGTATTGTCTCCTCTTCCTCTTAAGCTGGGTTTAGATAGGGCAAGTCAATTGATCAAGTCAGTTGAATTCAACTGACTTGAACGCGAATTGAACGTGTAAACCATGCCATTCAACTGACTTGATCAACTCACTTGAATTGAAAAAAGTTGAACCAGGCTCAACTTTTCAAGCCAATTGAATTCAACTGAGTTGATCATTTGACTTGCCCTATCTAAACCCAGCTTTAGGGTAAATGGAAATTATTAAATCCTTCTCTTTTCGCTTTTTTTATACTGGTAGGGTTAACTACTCCATTTCCGGCCTATTAAACACAACCCGCCCTTAGTCTTTCTTAATCAAGCGTAGTTTAGCACAAAACGGAATGTTATTATTACTGATGGCTTCCAAATGTATTAACCTTCCTGTAAGATTTGATAAAGAAGAACCAATCGTTGAGATATTGTCAAAACTTTAACACTGCTTCTTGACGCCAAACTCGGCCTACGGATTCTAAACTCGGCCTAACGCATTGAAACGTCAATGAATTCACTTCGGCCTATCAGATGAAGATAAAAATTAATTCGGTCGGAGCGCTTCTTTTTTTTTTTGGGAATAATGGGTGCAAACCTTCATATCACGCGTTCTCATTGACTTCGTTCCGTAGCTTATTAACTAAAGTATCGTACCGAACGCATAATTGAATTGACGAACTCTGAAATCATGGATTTATTTGAAGTTTTCTGCTCGATAGGCCCAAAATGGGCGATTAGGCCGAAGTTGTTCTCTACCCTATTCCACGCCAGCATTCATCAGAATAAATTAAAAAATAAACAAACAATGCAATTACCCAATATCCCATCTGGAACTTTGCGCCAGTTCTCAACTTGTTCTTTGAGCACTTTTGGAACCAACACATATTTTTAGATTAGTTTACTAGTCGTCGGATTAAAAAAAAAATCTATTTGTAAGCTAATAGCTAATCGAGGGATGTTCGGATGATAATGACAATAATCTGCACTTCACGCGAAACTTACTATTGACATAAATATCATGAATATATTTCTATAGTGTTTCCTTCCATAGTAGTCCACATAGCATCCTGTAAAGTTATTGGAAAAAAGTCGAGTCCTGCCTGCTCGGATGTTTAGTTTTTCTTCTTTTGTTTATTTTTTTACTTTGTGTTATACTCTATGTAGTACGCGGGAACAATTTCATTTAGACTTTGTGTGAAAGTATTTGTGTGTGTTTTCTGCGATTCCTTGTTTTAGTGTACATTGTGACTTGCTTTGTGTTTTGTTTTAATGAGTTGTTTTGTTTTGAGTTGATTAGAATTGATTTCATTAGACTTTTGTTCTCGCATCAACTTGTGTAAAACCAACAGTTACCGTTTAGTTGTTTTGTAATGGCTTTGCTTTGTTTTGCAGTTTTAATTGTACACTGTTAATCAATAAACATCTAATCAACTGGTTTTCTTCGTAATTTGTTTTTGATTTTGGCGCTAGCCGCTTGCCTACCATTGGCAGCAGCTGGATTAATTCAATAATCGAGAATAAAAATTAACATAAATAAAAGATTTTGTTAGAGAACTAAAATTACCTGGCTCCGTCATTTCCATGTTTCCGTATAGTTTTAAACTTTAATTCATCGTCATAAGTTACTTTAATAATAAATGTAATCCGTGTTCAAAGATTCTTATTCATTCAGATTAAATCATCTCGACTTAACGTAATCCCTTAGTAAATTGTACATTCCGCAAATGTGTGGTGAAAATTTGCGCATCTTGAATTTTGCTAGTTGAATTTGAAAAGCGTTCTAATTCACGTTTTAATAGTTTGAGTTTACTTGCTTTAGTTTTTTTTTCCGTCGCAAATCGCACCTGCAGTTTGCGTCTTATGTAATACAAATATAGCGATAAATTGTCGCCCTTTCCGGCTTTGCTCATGTTTAGACATATGTTTTAAGCTTTTTCTTTAAAACTCGGCTCATTTAACTGGTTGGTATTTGGGGTTTTAGAAAAAAAAAACTTTTTCAGTGTTACAAATTGCGTTTCAATTTCATTAAAATTTTAATTATTTTGACCTGACTCAGTTGCGTCAAGATAAATTTTGGATCCAAAAAACTGTTATTTGACTGTACGTCTCTCAATGTCTAATAATGAAAACAACACAAAATCCACGTGGATCCCGAGAAGCGCTCCAAAAACAAACATGGTTGCTGAGTAAAATTGCCGTTGCGTAGTGACCGTTGAGTCGACTGTGCTCAGCTTGTCCAACACCAACCCATATGAGCGCTTGGTCATGGCTTGCCACGTGGATTGTTTTCTAAAGTTTGTGCTCGGAAGGAATTTGCTCCCTTCCTGTCACACATTCAAAAACAATGGTTTGTTTTTCCTCTAAATGGATTCCTTTAAGCAATCCAACATCAATTGATTACACTAAAATCTGCTTTTTTGTTGCAAAAACGGCGTGTGTGAGGGTTAGACAAACCTGATTTTGATTTTCTTTCTCTGTATGGCTGTGTAGAGCAAACATTATCTCTTTCAGATCCTGACCTGGTGCGCATGGCTTCTGCAATCTACTGCTCGGAAGTCGGCCACATTGGGGGTTCAATCGAAGACGTTGATTCGGTTGGCAGTTGGATCGGGTCTGGAAGAGTGAATGTTTTCTCTACGGCAAAACCTCATTTAGGTGTATTACTACTGGGCGTCCACCGGTCAAACTCGATGCCGGAATCCGGTGAGATGCCGCTGCTAAATGGCCCTAGCAGTTCGATGGCCGCCTGGGAGCACTTGCATTCGACTTCGAAGCAGGTGCAGCTGTACTTTCCCATGTGGGTCCGTGGGCCCGAACCGGACCCACCTCGGTCTTGCGATCCAGGAGGTTGATCTCCGGATAAATTGCGCTGCAGACCCAGTCCACTGGAGGAAGGAAATGCACCACTGATGGACGATGAGGAAGGCGTCGAGGCGGATGAGCAGCCAGCAGGAAGCAATTTTGCCCGATGGCTGACGTCCAGGTTCAGTTGACGTTCAAAGGTATGCAGCTGCTCCATGAAGTGGAAGTTGGGCGAAACGTCTGGCTTGCGGGCTCTCACCAGGGAAAATGCATCGTTCAAACTGAGTGTCCTGGCGAACATGATGTAAGCTAGCGTCACTGTCACCGATCGGGAGACACCCGCTAGGCAGTGAACTAGCACACCGACACCCTTGGAACGGGCCTCATCTGGAATTGAGAAAGATTCAGTTGAAAATACACCACTTCAAACAAAACCGCCTTTCGATCGTCTTACCTATAAACTTTATTGCATTGGGAAAATGCCCGGCCACGTCCTGGGACCAATGATCGGTAATCGGTATCTGTAGATACTTTATATGTCCATCGCGCTCAAAAACGTTTGGCAAGTCTGGTGTAACATTTAAAATATACTGGAATCGAAAAGAAACGCCTCATTAGAAACTGGATTCATTCATCTACAATTTGATTAGGGGAAATTTTACCTTTATATTGTACTTTTTCAGCGATTTGAGATCCTCGCTGTGGGAAGCGTTGCCGAGGAAGAGGCCGGACATGATCTCGACCGGTTCGACGTTGACCGGTTCGGCGAGATAGTTCGTTGTACTTTCGCAGTCGGACGACTCGGTACTGCTGCTGCAGGCCGAGTCCGAGAACGGAATCGATATGCGAAGCGATCTGGTGAAGAGAAGATGGAATGAGAACAATCGTTAGTTGCGATATTGTTCAATGGGGTTTGGAAACGTCATTGGAGAAAAGGCATACATCTTCATTAGGGTGGTTCAAAATATCGATTTTGCTCCACCAAGCTCAATCGCTTTCAAATCTGGTCCTGGTAATTCTCCCAAAATTCGAGCTCATTTGGATATGTACTGATACTGCACTGACACTTTGAAGTTTATATGGGAGTTACTATGAGAAAAGTGAACGTTTTTTTCTCATCGTAATAATCTACGGAAAAGTTTGCTACTTGTTCTGATGGGAAATTTTCCCAGCTACAACTTTGCTGACGACTGCATTTTAATTGAATGTTAGGATAATTAGTTATTCATCGTTAGGATAGTTAGCGATTCAAATAAATTCAAATGTTGGGAGAATGATCAGAAGCTGATTTAGAATCGATTGAGCCTGGTCGAGCAAAATCGATATTTTAAACCACCCTAATATGCATAGGCCAAGTAGAGGTCATTAGAGTTGAGTTCCCAAGTAACCACCAAGCCCACGAATAACCCGATAATAGCTGATATAGGGCTTTAAATTTTCATATTAGCTCTACATCAGCACTGTTTGAATTAGCGGGCGTGAAAGTAAAGTTTTAAGTAAATCTTCGGAACCTTTCAAACAATATGAAATATTGTTACACCAAATTTTGAAATTGAGTTCCAGAAAAATGGATTGTTGAACTGTTTGCAACAAACCTATATTTTACTATACTTTCGACAAGTCGAAAAAAATTGCTAGAAGTTCAGTAAATCATAAGAAATGTCAAACAGTTGATCTATTGCTGCCTTCCGGGTTTTAATGGATAGTAATTTTAGAATAAAAAGTTAGAATTTGTATCCAAGACAAGACCGTAGATTTGACGTAGGATTACGTGCTCGATATCAATATTAGGCAACTGTGTTAGGGAAACCACTTTTTTGCTGGCAATCGGTGATAATTTCGATCACCATTGCAACAGTTGGACATTTGTTTAATTTTCAATAGTGACCTACTGAAAATTGATAAAGTGTTTATTTTAGCAGTTTCGTAGAAAAATTTCAAATCGATTTTCTTGTTAAGAATTAATATCCATCCGCTATTGACAGAGTTATAAGTGGTCGAAACCTGACCAGTTTTCATAATGCGGTCAATTTTGGTTTTTTAGACATGAGTAAAACAATATTAAAAAATCGTCAATAGATGATTCACAGTGAGTGTGTGAATGATCAGGTGTTACTGATGAAGGATTAGATCATAAACAAACCTATTTTAAATGGAAAAGATCTGTCAGTTCTACTGCAAACCGACACAACCTCTCGGTAAACTAAAAAATCAGCTGACTGCAACTGTCTTTTGGATGGGAAAACTCCGTACACACTGACATTATTTATTTATTTATTTATTTGAATCCATCTGACAAGTAGTTAGCATAAGTCAACAAACAAAATACATCTTACACAGACAAGTTGAAGACTTTCAAACGACTTTTAAAAATACTAGCAGAATGGGAAAAAATCAAACATATAATACCTAAAGTTGAATTCCCATTGTGCCAAAACAAAGTCTTAAAAATTCTCTCGATCTGAAGAACACTGCTAGCCAGTGCTGCAAAATATCAATATCAATACCCTTAAAATGCTGAATTTCACTAGCGACCTGATGTCGGATCAGTTCACACAGTTAGAATATCAATATTCTTCCTCTCAATGTCAGTGCGCAAAGGACATTGACATCGTAAAGGGACCACTGATATTCAATGTTCTGCTTCATTTTTTTCTTATATACGCCAGTTAATCGAGTACCGATCTTTAGAAAACTCACCACTAATATTAAAACAATGCAACGGTTATACAAAAAAGTTAATTTGGGATAAGATTTTCAACATTTCCCTAGTGATATTCATATGAATAGCAATGTCAAAGCCCTAGTAGCACGCTTGTCACAAATCAATTGTAGAAACTTATATACGACTTATTTCAGTCATAAACAAGTTGCTGTAACTTATTGTGATGAAAGTGTGCTTCTCGGGAGCCTTACCACCTGATATCCCCCTTATTACGAATAACAGTGTCGGAAGTGAAATTCAGTGCTAGACCAATATCTTAAGTCAAATTGACACGTTCAGATTGACCTGTCCAAGAACTTGGGATGAATGCGTGTCTCCAAGTAGCAGCTTAGCAACATACCAAGCTCTGGCGGAGTCTCGCCCTTGTTGAAGCGTTTCCATTCCGAGCAACCTACGGCAATCTTTATACGGTGGCAAGCAGGCAGAGTTACGCCAAGGAAGATATCTCAGCGCAAATTTACTAAACCGGGATTGGATTGCTTCAATCCTGTTGATCCAAGTGTGTGCATACGGGCCCCATAGGTACGATTGAAGCAGCTTCTAGAACCGAACGAACTAGAGCGTTAAATTCCAAATTCCTGTTACCTTTTTCAATAATGCTCGAGTAATGATCTCTGAATGAAAGCTGTGAGTCTAGAACAATTCCAAGATCCTTCACCACGCTAACTCGCTCGATCGGGGAACCGTAAATCTCATAAATCCAAGTTATATAGTTAATAAGGTTAACATCATTAGGGCTTCATGCAGCCTGTTGATTTAAAACAACAATAACACAATAAAACAAATCCAGTGAATTGGAGATTTCCGTCGTGTGAGGGAGATGACACTACACTATTGTACGCTGATTGCAATTTGACTGACAATTGCCAGTTGTTTCATAGAACACCAGCTCTCAAATAGCTTAATTAACATCTGTAGCTCCCGGTAATCCTCAATGGATTTGACGATAATAAAGATCTTACGGTCGTCCGCATGTACAAGTCTAATACAATATTGAGAACAGTAATGGTCATTGATTACTTCCTTGGGGAATGCTTGACCTGGTAGAGAAGATTTAGGACTGCGATGATCTAAGCTTGACAGTGAGTTGTCTGTTTACCAAATAAGACTTCAGCCAACCAGTGAAGAGTGAAGAAGCTCCTAGTCGACTGATCTTAGCCAGCAGTAGATGGTGATCTACACTGTCAAAAGCTGCTTTGAGGTCTGTGTAGACTGTGTCAATTTGTGCCCCAATCTCAATAGCCTTGATGCAACACGACGAAAACTCTACGAGATTAGTGTTCCTTTGAAAAATCTATGCTGATCAGATGGAAGGATCGATTTTACTGCATGAAAAAGCACATCGCCCACTAAGATTTCCAAAAGTTTGGAGCCAGTACATGATGAGGTAATACCACGATAATTAGTGACATCACGCCTGTCCCTTTTTTGTGGATAGGGAACATTATGGATTCTTTCCACAGCTCTGGAAAATTTTCCTGTGATAGTGACTTATTTATAATAATTATCAAAGGAGCAACAGTTAGCACATCTCTTCAATACAATTTAAGGAATTTCATCAGGTCCAGCAGCTGGGCAAGAAAACGACGGAACTGTATCTGGGTCGATGTGGTAGCAAACGATGAAACAGCAGTATCAATGTCGACGGCCAGAACCTGCGTCCAATCAATGTCAGCAATAACATGATCCAGTGAATCGAAATCCGTTTTGTAAAAATTGAACACCAAGCCATCCGGGGGTTCGGCGTAATTCACAGGTTGAGGAAGAAGCAAATTGGCAACAAGAGCTGGATGGAACAAATCAGTTTCAATTTCGAGGTGCATTTCGAGACAGCCTCTGTATTGGTGAAAATAAGATCCAAGATACGGTTTGTGCTGTTTTCGATGCCGTCTATTTGTTCCAGATTCATCGAAGATATCCCATCGACAAGACAGGAGCTTCCTGTAGAAAATCTGGACTCTGATGGATCAGGAAACAGATACCCGCTAGTAGCGTTCACCCAAACAAGATTAGGCTGATTATAGTCACTGAGGAGAAGATGAGAGTCATACGGTCTCAAAGATTCAGTTACGTCAAAGCGGATTTTGCCGAGATTCCAACAACCGAATAGTTTTGAAATTTATTTTACTTTAAAATTGCCGAGACTCAGCTAACAAACAGATATTTTGCGGAGTAAATGCCGAGTTAATTGACTTTTGACCGAGCTAGATTGAGTGTGTAGAAACTATCTAAAAGTGCAGCCAACTTAGAAGAAGTTCAGTGAACTTCGTAGGATTGCCTAGATTTTTGTAAAGTTCAGCAAATGTTGTAGAAGTTGAGAGAACTTTGTGAAAAATATACGAACTACAGGTAAGTTCAGCATATTTTTTCGAAATTCGGGTAACTCAGGGACACTTTAACTTCAGGGAACTACGTAAAACTTTAGTAGCTTAGTAGAAAATTCAGGTAGAAAGTTCACGAAATTACTGGGAACTTCGTTGAAAATAGATTTTTTTTTATAATTACATTACTCCGTAGAAGTGAAGCGATCTACAAATTAGTTCAGGGAACTTTGTAGATTTTTAGAGAATTACGAAGTAATTCTAGAAACTTTGAAAAAAATCATATAAAGGAGCTCAAGGAAGTAACGGCGCCGGTGGTGTAGTGGTAAGCGTGATTACCTCTCACCCCAGCAGGCCTGGGTTCAATCCCAGTCGGCGCCGCCGGGATGTTCTGAGGCATAACATCTCTGATCACGCCTTCCTTCGGATGGGAAGTAAAGCCGTTGGTCCCCGGTTCATGAGTTTGATGGGTCGATAGGTAGGGTCCAGGTGTGGGAGCTGCCTTCCTGGCACGTCGGTAGCATTGGTGCTCAGCACGGAAAACAAGATCGACGGAAAAAACAAACCAAAGGAAAAAAAAAGAGCTCACGGAACTTTGTAGAAGCTCGAAAAACTTATTAAAAGCCCAGCAAACTTCGTAGAAGTTCAGGGAACTTCGTAGAAGATCAGCAAACTTATTAGAACTGAGGAACATCATAGCAGCTTAGTTATCAGAGGACTTACTTAAAAAGCTTGCTCACGCACGGATGGGACCCGATTTTATACGTTTTTACCATTTATACGATTATCAATGTAATATTTTGACCGTCCTGCCATGGTGGAGGCAGATGATGCTGTATTGTTTATTTATTTACTGTACATAAGACTTGAAGATAATAACATAATGATCAAAATAATTTACAAATGAATGGTGACATCTATTGGTAAAAACAGAAACTATTTCATTACATAGAGTAAAGGCGGTAAATTTCATGCACGAAAAAAGCTCAATGAAGTTCCTGGAAGGTTTGGGAATTTCGTTTAATTTCAGGAATTGTCCAGATATTCAGGAATATTCGTAGAAAGTTGACGGGACTTTCCTAAGATTTTCTCCCAAAATTGCAGGTTGATCAGGAAGTATTCAAAAGATTTCCAGCAAATCGAATATTTCAGTGAAGTCAAGTGCCCTTGATTACATTATGCAAAATCAACATTTTCAAGAAGGAACTCTAAATATGAAGTAAAGGTCTTCAATTCCATAGGAAAAATCTTCACATGTCTGCATACAATAAAAAAAGCCTTCGAAAGTCTTCATTAGAGACTTCAGAAGTCTTTTAAATTTCAGTAAGTCTTCAAACATCCTCACAAAATGTGAAATTTCTGCTGAACCTGACAATCGGCCACGAAAAGGCTTGCCAATGCACATACACTTAGACAAATTAATGTAAATTTAGGTGCTCTAAGAGCGACACATACGACCGTCAATTTTGACATAAATTTGAGTCATAACAGACGCGAAATATAGCTCAATCAAACGTACTTTTCGGCGAGCAATGAAGTTTTCAGTCTCGGGGTATTACATGACATGTTTGTTTACGGCTCATCTTTTATGTCAAAGATGGATTCCGTCACGTGTAAAATAAATTATTTTTAAGCATGCATCAAAAATTGACTACATACATCTTAACATGTTTTATCTCAAATCGAGGGAAGACATTCCGTTCAACTACCATAAATCGGACTAGTTCATGTTGATCTTCGTCAAGTTTCGTCTACAATTTGGACTTCTACATCAACACATGTCAAGCTGCCTTCAGGTTCAATTGGCTAAACTTGGTGAGTTCGTTCCATTTTGTAAATTTTTATCTTTTCAAACCAGTAACGTTGGGAGATCACCTTTTTGTTGTGCGTTACTGGTATAAGATCTACCACCGAACCCTAGTCGTGACAACTTCAAACTGGATAATCAGGATTTTCCAGTAATCAAAGGATCACATTTTAGTTCTTGTTACTTTTTATGACTTCATAATAGTGACAAGACTCGGGTAGTGACCACCGCCGTTATGCATTTCTATATTGTATATTTCAAATCAAAAATATTGTTTATGTTCATAGAGTTTACATAATCCTTTTCCCTTTGTTCTTCTCCTTTTCCTTTCCCCTCTTCTCTTTTCAGAAAGCGAGTAATGGCGCTATAGCAATAAGTCATTAAAGGCTAGGACAAGAGTTGGTGCTCATGTCCCAACCGTCAGAAGAAAATGGAGCATCACTTAACCTTTCTAGCTTTGATGCTTCATATAATTACCAAAATCGGAACGTACGGTACGAGATGTCTACGTTTCTTCCATTTATTGGATTCTGAAGCATCGTGTTTAAATCTTCGATATAAATAGGCCCTATGTTTTCTGAATCATCTTGCCCCTTAAATGCTGCACAGTAGGCCTGGCCGTTTTGATATGTGTGATGCATCTTCGATGTGAATCATATATCAAATAGACAAGAAAAATGATGGAGGTATATCCATCATTTTCTAGGATGCTTTCAAGAACTGGCTGTGTTGGTGTTAGATTAGAGATTAGATTGGGGGGCTCCCGAAGTATACCAGAATATTAGACACTCAATATCAGTTTCCAAGGGGTATTCAAAACATGTCCGAGTTAGAGTACCTGTAAAGAGAGTGACGACATCTCAAACATTTGCCGGGTTGTCTGTTTGATTTAAGGTTCATGAAAATGTGTTCATTGCATTCTACTTGCCTACCGGCAGGGATGGAAAATTCTAACTTTTTTCATCAACAGAATTCCGTAAAATAATGTATGAAGCTTTTGTAGCTTTTGATATTATCTACAACTTCTGTCCATAACTAAAATCTGAATCTATTATGCATGCCGAACTAGAGCTGGCAGAACATGCTCTTGTTTTTCAGTGAATGCTATTTACAATCACTTATAAACGGTGGGTTTTGATCGCTCTGGTTTATCATGCAAAAGAGATACAGATTTGAATTGTTCACAAAAGATGTAGTTAAAACCTACCAAAGCTTGATACACTATTTTGCGGAATTCTATAGCTGAAAAAAGTTAGGGGCAAATGAATGTAAATGGTTTTCCATCCCTGCCTACCGAAACGCAGTAAATACATTTTCATTGACAGAATTTCAATTTTAAACGAAAAAACTGCGTTCGAATGTCCACAAAATAATGACGAAACTGACATTTCTCTATGAACTAGCACCACTTAGCTAAATGCGCACCAGGACCGAGGTAAAAGTCTACTGAACAACTTTACCAAAGACATGAACCGCCTATGTTGTTAAAATATTTGAATATTAACAGTAGAAGTATTTTCCTTTTTATAGGACGCTACTGGGCGTTTGAAGCATCTGTCACAAGTAAGAGTCGAATAATTATAAAAGTCATCTTGCACTTAATGGGGGATTTCTCGATGAGGTGTTTTTAGTTGGGTGTTGGTTAAATGGTTGAGGACCCAACCAAACATAAGTTATTTGTCAGAAAATTGTATCACACCAGACATATCATTGTTGAAATATGAAAGTGATCTAGTGTGTAGTTTTACGTGGAAAACTTTAATTTGATAGTCTGAAAAATCGTGTAAGAAACTTGAAAGCACCTTACGTAAGATATGTTTCAGACTGTATTTAATTTAATAGTTTGCTATATTTTTGTAAAAATTAGAATGAATTTCATGCTTCCAAAGGATTTCCTTAACCTAAATCCAATATTGTTTTCCCTTGTTTAGTTTTCCGTCGATCTTGTTTTCCGTGCTGAGAACCAATGCTATCGACGCCAGGGAGGCAGCTCCCACACCTGGACCCTTACCTATCGACCCATCAACTCATGAACCGGGGACCAACGGTTTTACTTCCCTTCCGAAGGAAGGCGTGATCAGAGATGTTATGCCTTAGAACATCCCGGCGGCGCCGACTGGGATTGAACCCAGGCATGCTGGGGTGAGATGCAATCACGGTTACCACTACCCCACCGGCGCCGCAAATCCAATAAATTTAATTTGGCTGGTTTTCTGATTCCGATTTTTCACTACATCGCTGATTACGAACTGTATACGTCCACCACATGATATGTCATGTTCCACACTTCGGTAAATTACAGTTCAAACAGCTCCCTATTTCGAACGGGTGGGATTTGCAATGGAAGACCTAACTAACACTACACACAAGGTAATTATTATATATTAGCAAACATCGTATAACCTTTTCCAACGGTTGCTATGGCTTTGGTCGTAGGCAGATGGTGCACTCGCGGGTAATTTGCCTTCGAAAGGTTGCATTCGCATAATAGATCATCAGTGTCGAGTAACAATGGAGCGCTTCATCTCACAGCCAATCCATAACTACACCGCCAAAAGACTGTAATGACTTTCACGCAATTTTTTTTCTTCAATTCTTCGCACTCGATCCGAATTGAATTTGAGTTACCGACAATTTTCGAAAAACGATTCACCAACACCGGCGGACACGAACTAAAGTTTCCTGAAAAAGGACACCACCGTAGTACGGAAGCTCTCACCTCAATCCCATCAGTTGTTCGGTAGCGGCACATCCAGACTGCAGGTTAGCGTTGATGACTTCATCCTCGCACCACTCCGGAAACGATTGCCGAAAGTTCGCATAGCCACCTACGCAATTGGCCAGGGTGGAAAGGTGTAGTAGTAGTAGTAGCATCATCACAGTAGGCACCAAGGATTCGGCGTCATCGTTGTTGTTGTTGTTGTTGTTGTTGTTGAATGTTTCACGCACGTTCACGAGTTGGGGCATGTGAAAGAGAAAGTAAACGGTAGAAGAAAAAAAAAACATTGTATTAGTGATCGAAGAAGGCTACCGCAGTTGCTGAAAACGGGACAGGAGACGTGTTTTGGGGGTAACCGCGAGGAGGATGATAGGGATAAATGATATTCGGTGAATTCTGTATATGTTTTGCCTTGCTCGCTGGATGGAAATGCGTGGGTGTGAAAGAAAACCCTTCGCAGCTTTCCATTTATTTTCCAAGAAATGGAAGTGTGTGCAGCTCTACCTTTTACGGAAGAGAGAGAGTTGCCGGTACAAGGGTAACGTGTGGGGGTAGAAAATTGCGTCACGTAAATATAAGAGCAGAATAGAACATAAGTTACATGAAAAAATGACGTTGCGTGGGCTGCCGGCGGTAGATAGATCGAAAAGAGGCAGAAGTGTTTTTGTAAGTGGCATTACTCTTAAGTTTCAAGTGGGCGTAGTGCTTTCATTGCTCTCGATTGAATAAATTTATTGAAGCTTAGTGCAGAAATTACGAACGATCGCAGTGTGCGTTGAAATTAGACCAACTTTATTCTGTCATCGCGATAGAATGCATTGTTTGTTAAGAATCATTCGTTTGAATCATGTTTAAAATAGGTTGAGTGATAGACTTGGTTTAGTTGCTCTCTCAGCGAGTAAAACACCATACAACAAGGGAGCGAATATCGCTCCCAGTTCTATCCTGTTGGTACATAACTGATGCTAAGAGAATAGAGCAAGCATACGAAACTGATGCTTCCTTTCATTCATAAAATAAATTTATTATTCATACCCATTCAAGATAGTTTCATTGATATAATCTATTATTGAAGGAATTCATACTTAGTGTTATATGTGCGGGCCAAATTCCTAGCGAAGCACTATAATGTGAGCTCACCGTTAAAATCGACATGCATTTCCCATAAGCATAAGCATAACCGAGCAACAACAAAACATTGCACCGGGATAAAAGTTTAATGAATGAGCTTGCCTTCTTTCGTTCCTTCCAAACACGCATACCTACTGTGCGATGATGATGACCGTTTTCATTCATTTTCTTCCTTCCGTTTCCATGCAACGCCACCGTCGAGAGCAGCGGCAGCGCCAACTAGATTGCTACTTCCCTGCGCAACATTCGCTCCGGTGTGTGATTCACTTGTATAAATCTAGTTTTTACGACCATTTCATCTATTGTTATACATTTCTCAGAGGCTAACTTTTTGTTTTACTTTTCCCATTCGTATCGGCTTTGCCGTAGGTCTAATCTGAGCCAACCAACGCAGTGTGCCAGGCTGTGTAATCAAGCAACGACGACACGACCTTCAGGGTCAAAGATCCCATATTTTCAGCCTTGCTGGATGCTAGTTAGCTATGTTGGTCCAGACTGAACACACCAAAATATGATCACTAAATTTCGGTTATAATACCATGGAAAAATGAAAAATGGCCCATTGAAGATGGACTGTTCAAAAACCAGTGGTCTGTTCTGTCAAATTGTTTGTCTGTTGCACCCGAATATTGGAGGCTCGTTGAATTTGAGAAGTAAATCATAAATGACACAAACAAAGCCCAGAGGCGTTTTTTGAATTTTCCAATAAAACTTCTTGAAATGTGGAGGCGAACCAGCCCCAGGCTGAAAGCCTCATTAATAAAGAAAACTGAGCTTAGCTTAACTTCTTGAATTATCAATCATTCAATCATAAAAAAAACTTCATTTCATTGAGGTTTCATTGGGGAATTTTATGGCTATTTAAATCAAAAACATATAACAAATACAATTCTCTAAAATGATTACCGTTTCAGGGAAGGTAATTCGACGCAACTGATAGCCACAGTATGCTTTTTAAGCTGATAATCTGAAGCCAAATGCTAATTTTTCTCTGAATTGGCAATATAAGATGTCCAAAAGTTTAATTTCAATACAATCTTCAATACAAATTCATTTTTCGAAATAAAACTTTTCGGTCGCTCTAGGCTAGGGCAGTAATTTTTATTGAACGGTACGACCATATGCAGGGAAACAGCTCATATTTGATTGCTGTATGGACGATTTCTAATCACTCAAGTGAAAAAGGTTTGACATATTCGCTCAAGATTTGCGACCATGAATACTGCATCTTTAAGGAAAATAATGAACCAGGGCCTTAAATCCCGTTCATACTACAGTCTGAGTTTTAGAAATATTTTTCATAAAAACAGAGTCGAATGGGTATAAGACTTAATAAAAAGAAGTTCTATGATCAAGTTATAGATTGAACTTAGAAATTATTTCAGAAACCAATGAGATCATCGGAATAACATTTCAGATCACGGATTATAATTTTTGTTAAGACTATATTGAAAAAACTTAAAGAGGTAACTTTTAAAAATGTAAAAATTCAGCGTAATTTTCTAGATCTCTTATCTAATAAAAAAAAATCTTTACTTTCGTATTTGGACATCATTTAAGGATTTTAGCACATTGAGATACTGTCAAGAGAGTTTTGATGTGAACGTCAAATGAGGTTTGAGGAGAATTGCAGGGCAATAATTCTAAGGGGATTCTGATGACTGAGGCATTTAGTTATCTTTATTAAGGAGACTTTCAGCCGAACGCTGGTTTGTCGCCGGGAACTCCTGAAGGAGGTTGACTAAGGCATTTGACTAGAATTTCCAGGTAAGTTTGAGTTGTGTTTCAAGAAATTTTTAAGGAGAACTTAAGGGAATGAAAAGGAATTTCGGCATTCGAAGGGAATTCTAAGTGAATTAAATCTACGACATACTTAAAATGATCCCCTGCGGTTGACAGTACTTTAAATGTTAATCAATCAATCAATCAATCAATGACTTCAAAAAGAATAATTCTGAAGAGAGCTCCAACATCCATAGTAAATCCAGAGGAATCTTATTCTGAATACAGCTATATATTTGTAAAATTTCAAGCTAGTTTCAAGGAAATCCCTAAAAGTTCAAAGAGTGTTCCCGAGAGGGTTTTAAACAGTTTAACTCTCAGGGAAGTTTTAGTATATTTCCAAAGATATTCGGAATAGCGTACCAGGATGTTTTGAAGAAGTTTGCAAGGGAATTCAAAGGAGAGTTCCAAGTAACTTTCAATAACATTTATAAGATTATTTTAAGGGAATTTTGAAAAGAATTTCAAAGGAATTTTCAGGAAAATTGCCTTGCAATTCTAAAGTAAATTCCAAAGAAATTCTGGGAGAATATTATCTTAATGCAAAGAGCAAAGCAAGCCTTTTTTGAAGAATATTTCAAATGAATTTCAAAGATAATTATGAAGAGAAATTGAAGCAAATTCTCACTAGAATTAATTGTAGAGTGAATTTAAAGAGTTTGATGGAGGGAATTTTTTAAAGTGTTCTGCACAGAATTCCAAGACTGTTTTGGAGATAATTTGTAGTGCGTGATTCCGAAGAAATTTACCAATATCCTTGTCTAAGAAAACTGTGGGACTAGACATTTCTGAAAAGTATAACAGTTAGATTATGCGATAATCTATACACCGAACGTACATTCAAAATTCCAACCATGGAGGAATTTGGTAGATTCTGTGACATGAACAGTTTTCAAGGTTCTAAAATTAACAAACATATCTAAAATACCGGACATCGGACATCTTAAAATTTTCAAAATTGCAAATTTTACAAAATATCACGTGTCTGAGGCTAAGAAATTGTTTGGGATTCTCACTGGTATCAATTTGGATAATTTTCATGATCTTGAACTTAACAAATTGAGATCTCAGACTTACCTTTCAGTATCCCATACTATATAAAAGTTAAAAAATTTGAGCTGGAATTATTCTCAATCAAATATTTGAGCTATTCGACTAATAATTTTGATTAATAGAATGCGATTATTATATGAATCTACAAAAAATTATGGTTCCAATAAAATTCCCGATTCCCGGTTGATTACGATTTCCGGTTTTCCCGGTTCTTTATATCAAACGTCATGCATATTATTTCCAGTGAAAACCGAATGTGCATTCTGATACGTATTGCATTCAGATCACCGTTGTCAGTAAAATTTTACCGGAGTTTTGAACAGCTGAAAAATTCGGTATTAAATTTTCAAGGTTATGAATTTTAAACTGATTTAAATTACCAAACAGTAGAGGCCTGAATTAGTATGCAAGATAGGCTGTAGTGTGAACGTGGTATACATTTACATGATAAAGAGTTCGAAGAGCTTTATAATTTTCTAAACTCTCAGAATGATGAGTTTCTGTACAATTTATTCGCAAACAATTTTCAACGTCTCAAATTCCTGGTTTTGTCTTCATATTCATGAAATTCAATGCCTGAATTGTCTTGAAATTCGTTTGGAACTATTTAGAGGATTTGTTTTTTTTTTAATTTTCTTAAGAATCATTCTACAATTTCATCAAACTTCATTTCCAGCTTCCTCTTGCATAATCCTTCTTATTCTTTCTAGTATCCCATTAAATTTTTATAAATTTAGTTTCGACTGTAGTTCACGAAATTTCGAGGATTATTGAGATTTGTTCTACAATTCTCTAATAGCTCTCACAAGAAGTCACTTAAATTTATCTTCATAATTCATTTTATTCGGTAATACCATAGAGGTAACTCTAAGACTAGTAGGTCCCGAAGAAACGTGCTCAACTTTTTGGCTCAGCTCTGGTACTATCTTCGGTCCCAAGCTAGTCGATTCACCCCTCGAAACATAGGAAAATCCACTAACTCCTCATTTTATCTGTCAAACTTTCAGTACTAGAAGTGTGTAGTACTAGAATTATGACTAGAATGGGGTACGTTAATCGATTTGCTTCAGTTGGTAATACATTTACTTATTACCGTCACTGGGATAAATAAACTCCTTTACTTCTTGCCTTCACGCTTCTGTA